AAAGCGCTCCCGGGATAGAGTTTTACGTGTAAAATCCAATCCTAAGGGCGCTCTCGAAACTCAGGAGAGGTCTATTGAACACCCCGATAGTCATATTTCGCCTCAGTATACCTTACATGCACTTGCATAGTATTTTTTAGTGACATCGGTGAAATTTGGTGACAGTCTGTGGTTATTACCGAGGATTCCTATATTATTTTGTTCATGTCTGATCCTCCTGAAGACACGTCGTGGGCCGGAGACGGCAAAGTCCTCCAAACCAACGCCCAAGATGTGGCTGCAACTAGCAGCTCAGCAGAACCACTACAGTTGCCCCTTCAGCGGGTCGTTTCTCTACAAGGTCGTATTCGGGGATCCTCTGGACTGAGTAGAAGGCCATCCGAAGACGTCGACTCCTTAGTTTACTCCAACGTTAGTTCTGCCACACTTTTGAGAACTGATGGTAATAGCAGTAGATGTGATTACAGTCGAACTTCCGGAGAATCCTTGGTAGTGGGTCGTCCTCCTCCCACGTCAAGTCCCTGCACTAGCCCTACACATCCTGTTACTACCCCCACAGGGCGAGGTGAGGACGATTCAACGACCAAGTATCGGTCATCGATTTCAAGTGGTTCCCCTCACCAGCAGGCCACCAAATGTCACTGTATCATCATGTAGTAGCGTTTAAACGCCTAATTCCAGACCTCCTCGTCCCCTTCTGGTACGTTATCATAGTCTCATTTCTTTATCTCATGTTGGCGTTATGTACTCGTACTCCTGATTATCTCCACTTAGTCTTTCGCACCATCTGATCAAACCATGACCGACATCTTCTGAGGAAGGAAATCGGATCGAGTGAGACAATGCCAGGAAGTCGGCGACGGACTTTAGTCACATCGATCGTAGTAGTCAGGGATAACATTTCTGCTATCGCAAGCTGACCATGTGTTGTCTATTAATCGTCGTTGCAAGTATGGCGAGTTCCTTCTGTGTGGATACGGTGTACATGCTAGTGTGGATGAGGCTCTGAAATGGCTGTAGTACGTGGTATTCTTCTTCGCCGTCTGTCCGACGAGATCCAATGCAGTGGAGTCACAACTCGTATCGGAGACCCCGAAGCCGCGGCCTTAGTGGGGTCCTTCAGCTGGTAGGACCCTATGGACTATGATTGCGAATCGACAACTTCTAGCAGTGGCTCGGATGGTGCTGACCCCGACAGTAGTAGTAACTTACGAGACGGATATATGCATAATGCCGATTTCTATGTTTCGAGCAGCAGCAGCAGCGATAATAACGCGGTCATTTGAATCAATTTACTAGATGGCCCTTTTGGTGTATTCTAGATAGAATACATCGTGCAAGAGGGAATGTCTCGGTCCCCACGATGGGTATCATAGATGGGCAGCGTAAAGTTTTTCTACGGTTTACGTTACGGTATGCTTAACATAAGTAGTTAACGGTTACGGAAAGGGATGAACCGTTTGGTGCTGAATTGCTTTTTTTGGGAATTATGGCGGAAAAATTCGCTGCCGGCCTGGTCTAGGCACACGGATCCACATGGAGTAGATTCAGGCGACTTGAACCGCCTATCCTCGTTTTGTCCATTGCATCTCTGTAAGACCTGTTACGGTGCCATAATTTTATAGTACGGGGCTTAAAGCGTAACCGTAAAAGTGAGCGGGAACGGTCCGTAACGTAATTCTGCCCATCTATATTGGGTATCATTGGGATGCTCGGTTTGGGTGGTTGCCCTGTAGAGTGGAGTCTACTGTAGCTCCGCTTATCGCCGCCGTCTAAACCATAGTAGAGTAGCGATGGTCTAACCGAACTATGAGTGGCATAATGTTGAGATTTCAATGACCTCATGATCATCCACCGTTATCGCGTATTCTGTATTGTGTTCATCAGCTCAGTATCAGGGCAACATACCACTGAGTTTGATATGTATGTTATCAGCCATAGTAGATATAGGGTTTTGAGATAATGGCAGCGACTCAACCGCTCAGTCTTATGTCATATCACCTACTCCGTGCAAACTACTGGGCACGGCACGAGTTATACCGACTCACATGGGTAGTAATAGGGATTTGAGCGCTCGAAGTATCTTGTCCTGATCTTCCTAGGGAATGCTAATTCATCTCTTGTATTAGGGTCATGTTAGGAGTGTTGTCTGCCTCTATCTATTTATGTGAATATCATAGAACATATGTTGATATATCTCAGACTATGTTGCGGCAGAATCGGCGGCAATCACTTTTGCCTTTCGACGACTTCATGGGAGGTGCGACGCATGCATATCGTTTTATGTAGTACCATACTCTCTGCACTAGTACTGTGTACTTGGTGTGCTTCCTTCAGTCATGATCAAATCCTTCATAGCGGGTTAGATTCGAGGGGGAAGTACTGGTCACAGTCGAGTCAGGCTTTGAAGGGCGTGTTATCGAGTAGGACTGTCCTCCCCTACTTTGCAGTAATACTGCTTACCATCAGATCAGCTATTCCAAGCACTATCCGATGCGGCCGATTCTTCGACAAGCGATGGCTCCCTCCTTATGGACCAGCATTCTGAGCTGAAGGACATCAAGGCATACATGTACGATGCATGGCCATAGTCATCGCTACATGTCGTTTGCGGTCTTGGAGTAACTGTTATCTACACTGTTATCTTCTCTTCACTGGTTACCAATTGCAACATTCAGGTACGGCCTCAATCTGCCCGATAGGTTTCCTCGTCGCTTGAAGGGTGATAGGCAGCCCGATGAGGATACTGATCTCATACTTCGAGAGGATGCGTACTAACTCCTTGCCTAGATCCTCTCATTGCTGTTGATGATCTATTCAGA